CAAATTCTACGAGATAGGACCACATATCGTATACTAAACAAGGACCCAACTATGAAGATCAATGGAATCTTAAGTACTATGCTGAAAGATATACATAGGAATGGGGAAATTGACGCATGGACAAAAGATTCAATCATAAGAAAGGATGCACGACCACCAACATTCTACGGATTACAGGAGATACACAAAGAATGTGAGCCACTAAAGCTGATAGTCAGCAACAAGTATGGAGAAACACGCAAATCGACAAAGGTAGTATGTTTGAAACTCAAAAAATCAAATGACAGGATATCAAACATCGTGAAGCATTTATATGAATTTTCTCAAACAATAAAAAACATGGCACTAGAAGAAACAGACTTATTGGTAAGTTTCGATGTGGAATCCATGTATACAAATATCTCTGGAGAAAATGCTTAAACGGCTAGCTCGAAATCCTGTACCGAGAGGATGATATCCTGGAATCATAATGGATCAGGAGGGAGTCGTTAACACGAATAATCAACTTGACACTAAGGACGACTTATTTGACATTCAACATGACAATCTATGAACAAATATTTGGACTTCCCATGGGATCGCCGCTCATACCTCTTTTGATAAATCTATACATGAAGAGAATAGAAGAGAATTTCAGGATGTCATCGCTACAGCCAGCAGTGCTTATGCAGTACCTGGATGATTATTTCGCACTTTGATCACATGGAAGATAAAAACTGGAAGATTTTCTGGAATTAATAAAACAGATTAATGAAAAAATTAAATTAACGATGGAAGTAGACGGAGGTGAGCCGTTATCGCTCCTGGATATTAAGGTAATTCGCTATAATGAGACGCTCAAAAAGAAATTGTTCAGAAAGAAGTGCTATGCCAAGATAATACTCAATGTCCAGTCTCATCACAATTACAGGCTAAAGATAGGAATAATACGGAGCATGATCGTCCGAAGCCTACGTTTAAGGGATGTGGATTTCTAGGACGAGGAGTTAGAACAAATTATTTTCGTATTGGAGTAGAGTGTCAAGACTATCACTAAATCATTAATATGAGAGGTATTTACCCTATTTCGTTTAAGGTGATGAAGGACTGGTATTAGAACTTTTCCACAATGATGTAAGTAAAGCTGACGTTTGCATTGAATTTCACATTGCCTTGCTTTCGCAAAAGTTGTTCTCATCCAAGGTGGACTGCAGTTTCGACCTCGCATCGGTCTTATCAACACCCCGAGCGGGAGTCGAACCGTAACAGTGCGGAATAGGAGCTTGACACGTTAACCATTCGATCACATTGCCACGAGTGCCCTTGGGTCTCAGGGCATAAGTGAATTTCAAGAAAGGTCAGGACAAATTGACTAGGATATTCCTCGGCAACGGCTACCCAAGTGAAGTAATACAATGAAATATACGGGCCATGAAAGGTCGATGGCAGAACAGGGACTATGAAAAACAGTAAGAACGGAGAAGGATTCACAAAAGTGGATATGCCTACATTCCTACGAACTAAATCAAAAACTACGACCAATATTTAGAAAATGAAATATTCGGTTGGCCATGAAGGAAAAATCAACAATTTTCACAAGCCTACCGACGCAACACGACACAGTAGACAAATTTAATTGTTCAGGAGTTTATTCTATATCCTGCGGCGCCTGCTAACATAAATACGAATCAAGCAACATGAAAAGCCCTGCAGGAAAATGGATACCGAAAGATCAGAATTAGCGGAACTCATCGCAGAGACTGGACACGAGAACAATTGCAAGGCAACAGAAAGGCAACTGGTAGTCTCGAAACTCTACTCAAATACGAGAAAGAAAGGGCCCATACGGTGACAACACAAGGAAGTGGAAGATTAGGGAGAGAAAAATCTAGTGTACAGGAGATTGGAGGAACATAGAGTTAGCGATAACTTTGTCTACTGCTTAAGCAAACTCGGGGAAAACAAAAATACAGCAAGACCAGCAAAAAGAAGACGCCTGGATCAAGGATCTATAACTAATCCGAAGAAAAGGTAGCGCGATGAGAAAAAGGGTCGAGGATTTTAGGCAATCAAGCGAATACAATGTCAGTGAGTGGTGTCCATTCGAAGAAACCAGTACAACTTTGCGAGCCTGATAGTAAGGATGCTAGGCAGACGGATAAGCAAACCGTCACAGAAATTTGGCCCTATGGTCAAAACAGACTAGAAATCCAATTGAGATGCCATAGGCGACCAGATATAGGCGTCGACAGTTTGCTCAGCTAAGACGGGTTTAATCAAGGAGACGAACCGTTAAGACAATGACTGATATTTACAATATTCGTATTAGATTAGGGTTTCGAGACTCATTACACTGATATTTACAAGAATGGGAATCAGAGCCTAGGCGCTCTGCTCAGTGAGGCAGGTGTGTACGTGCTTCTAGGGCTTTGATAAATAGGGCTTGGAGTAAAGCGCACACTAGGACTGGAACCGAGTGAAATCGGTCAACCAGAAAGATAAGGAACGGATCTACGGGACCATGGGGGAGATCCGGATAGGAGACGGAGTCGTATTAGCCGATTAAAGGAGATCGGGTCAGGGTGATTCACAGGTGTAATGAGGCCACACTATATTTGTCACAAAATGGCACACATTTTGACGAGTGGAATGTAAACAAGTGAGTAGTTGTGATGGGGCGGGAATTTTATAGGAGGGTAAAGAGTAGATAGATGGGCCTGGACAGAAGGAGCAGTGATAGTGTAAACGTTTTCGGCAGAATGTTGGTCGAGGGATTTACTTCACTTGTCTCCTTGACGAGTTCGTAGCTTGGTGTGGAGAATAGCAGCACTCACTGATGATGCCAACTACGATGCCGGCGAAACGTTTGAGAATGTACCAAGTCAACTGTCTGTTGTTGGGACTTATAATAACTACTATGGCACAGGACTTCGGACTAGGTGGGTTTTACTAAGTCTCCCAGACAACAAGACCAAGTTGCGACAACTAAGTAAATCCACTTCTATAAATCGAATGGAGACTGATACCTTACTAGGAGCCACATCATCTTGTCTACTTATCTTCGAATACATTTTTTAGTTTATAAGAAGGACATCGAGACTACCTGTTGATTATGTATTTGATATGTGTTAACTTTATTTCGTTTAAGGTGCTAAAGGACTGGTAGATACATTTTTCCAACAAGAATTTACTCGTAATCTTGAAAACCTAGATTTAAACGGAAAATAAGTAGTGCAGTCGATTGATACAGCAAATACACCTTTGCTTCATCGACAATTCCACCAATGAATGGGTAATGGAAAATCCTGGCCTTTCATGATATCCTTATCTTCCCTGCGACCTAAGAGAACTGGTGGTTCACAAGTCAAAATTATATGCTTCACTATTAAGATTATAGTCCATCTGGAGATGCTGATGCAACCTAAGTGAGGTAGAAACTGCAGTCTACCCTGAATAAGAATATCTTATGGGAAGCAAAGCTATGCAATGGTTAATGTGAATTCTAGATATACTCGTATTATTATGAAAAAGAATCAACTATCTTTCCTTAATTACCTTAAAGTAAGAATTTTGAATAAAGCTCTCAACAATCTCTCTTGTACTTGGGCAAGAGCTAGTTGATGACTTGTTTAGCATGGTGTAAATATTCACAAATTATGCACTTTTGCAGAGCTTCCAAATTATGGCACAAGTAGGCCCAAGATGAATTCCGTTCGAATAACGAAAAGTGTTCAAATTACGGCAACGGAAATTTTTTAAGTATATACTGTAACTTGAAATAAATGCATACTTCTGCGATTGGAACTAGCCTGAAGCCAACTAAAGCGTCGAAAATTCTATTATTCCACCTTCATTTTGAACTAACTTTGGAATTTTCTCTCTTCCAACTGACAAGTTACGATTGCTAGTCGCCTGCAAAATTATGAATATAATGAGTTTAAAATGGTTCGCCGATTGTTGTAGGCAGCAGCCATTAATTATGTCAGGTAATGAAAAAATGGCATAACAACTAATTATATTGTTTAAATCCGCAGGAAACTATTACCTAACTTAATACATGTTTATATTATTTATAGGTTTGCCTGCCAGCGAAGGATAGTAGTGCAATATGGAAAATTCTGTTGACTGTTTAAATGTTTTTTTTATGTAGAATTATGAAATTTTCTAATTCTTTCTTTACTTATGAGCTATGCTATTTCTAGAATTACTTTGAAGGTTCTTCATTGATGAAAAAGTACGGAGCTTTGGAGGAAAAGGAACTAGCTACCGAAAATATGCTCTGCTATCTTCCTCGTTCCTACACCCTCTGGAATAGAACAAGTGACATTCGTGAGCCCCGTTATCTGGTGCTTGATCCCGTCAAGGGATTAAGTGCTCATCTAACGGGAACGCTCGATATAAAGAATATAATTGGATCATTTGTCAGGGAGTTTAACAGGTAGGCAGCAGGCTCTTGTGTATAATACTTCTCTTTATCTAAGGCTAATTTTACGTTCAGTTAGTATGCTTATAGCTTAACGTGATATCATAAATTACGTAATTGATAATAACTGGATCAGCATTATAACCCATTCGAAAATGTAAATTCATCATAATGAAAGGTGAGATGCATTCACCTTATTTTATCTATGATGATAGCGGATTGGTTGCTGAATTTTCCCACATTGATATCAGTAGGTTTTACGTTTCAACTGAATTTCAGCTAGACTTGCGTCCCAAAAGGTATATTATTCGAGGTAGGAGCAGACTGCAGTTTCGATCTCGCCTATGTCGTCCTCAGCACTCTAAGCGGGACTCTAAGCCAAGTATATTACCAATAAATTAAACCCTACGTGAAATTGCCACAAGTGCACTTGAGTTACAGGGTAGAAATGAATTTAAAGGACATATTAAGAAAATCTGTATTTCGAAGATTTCTTTGTGATATATTGTGACATCACTTTTCATTTAGAGGGAAAAGTTAGAATAAATTCGTAATTTGATTTGACCGGAAACCGAAGGAGGATTACTGCTTAAGAAAGAATTTTTAATTGTGCGAAGAAGTCTTAGGTTCACCATCCTGTGACCCCAAATAAAATGTGATAAGCTTTCGTCTTTACTGTGACTGGTATCATCAGAGCAGGAATCCATACTTCATAAAATAGAGCAAGAATATACTAAGCCAAGATAATAGGGGGTTGGC